TCACCGGCATGTGGCCGGGCGGTGGTGGCGCACGCCTTTAATCCCAGCACTCGGGAGGCAGAGGCAGGCGGATTTCTGAGTTCGAGGCCAGCCTGGTCTACAGAGTGAGTTCCAGGACAGCCCGGGCTATACAGAGAAACCCTGTCTCGAAAAACCAAAAAAAAAAAAAAAAAAAAAAAGAATCACCGGCATGACCCATCCACACTCACCTTCAAAATGTTTCTGATGTCAGGGAAAAGCAAAGGAAAATGGAGGGCTACAGAGATGGTTTGGTATTAAGATCCCCTACTGAGCTTGCATGGTACCTAAGTTCAATTAGGTACCAGAGTCCACCTTTAATTGAAGTCCCAGGGGGCCTGATGCCTCCTTCTGGCCTACACAGCATTGTACTCACATACACTGACACATATACATAAATACTAGACCTAACTAAAAACTAAAATTTGAAGGAAAAAAAAAAGGAGGGGAAGATGCCCACGTCATACACTGGACTCTAGAATTCTTTTGCATTCATTTAGACTAACCTTGGCCTGTCCATCACTGCAAGTCTAATATCCTCCTACTTATCCACACCTCAGAGAGGAAGGTTAAACTAACTTCTTAGAGGTGCCAAAGACCTGTCTCCTGTGATCCTGTGAGGATACATACTCTTATCCCACCTACTGTGGAAAGAAAGGGTAACAGTCACAGGTCCAATTGTAGATAACCTGGGTACCATTACTCCTGACTTTCTACACTTTACAATTAGGTTAACAGAAAACTTCTTTACAAGCTAGGAGTGAGGGCATATGCCTTTAATCCCAGCAATGGGAAAGCAGAAGCAAGAGGAACTCTGTTCAAAGTTTCAGGTCATCCAGGGCTAAGTAGTGACACCCTGTCTTAAAAATCAACTAGCTAGGGCTGGAGAGATGGCTCAGTGGTTAAGAACACTGACTGCACTTCCAGAGGTCCTGAGTTCAAATCCCAGCAACCACATGGTGGCTCACAACCATCTGTAATGAGATCTGATGCCCTATTGTGAGGTGTCTGAAGACAGCTACAGTGTATTCATATATAATAAATAAATAAATCTTTTTAAAAAAATCAACTCGCTAACTAACTTCTTTCAGTCTTAGAAACTTATACCTTCAACTCAGGAATCCAAATAACACACTTTAATTACCTAAGGATGCTTCCTAATTAAAAATTAAATCCCAGCACCTGGGAGGCAGAAACAGGCCAAGTTCTAGGCCAGCGAGGGCTCTAAAAATAAAATTACTGTAAGGGCTGGGATTCAGCTCAGTGACAGACTACTTGCTTGCTTAGCATCAGTGATGTCTTGGGGATGAATCCTTAGCACCAAAACAAATACAAAAAGTAACTTTAGCCAAGTCTCCAAAATCATCAAATTACATGTTGAATAAATGTAGCTTTATCAGTGTCAATCATACCGCAGTAAAGTAGCTTTAAGTAACACTGAATGTAGTAGCACACATCTGTTATCCCAACAATACTGTAAAGCCTATGTTCAGAAGGCTGTGGCAGGAGGATCAAGGTCATGGTGACTTAAGATACATAGTTTCAGGACATGGTAGCAATCCAAGCCAGCCTAAGCCATGTAGCAAGACCCTGTCACCACACACATTGCTCTCTAGAGACGCTCCCCCCACCCACCCACCTAGGAGAATCACTAGAATCTAAGCAGGATTTTCATGGTCTATGTAACAATGTCTGGTCCTCCATCAAGACCCACCCTGAGGAGGGTATAGCCTTCAACTAAACAGGAACTTCTGCTTCTCCCTTAATTCCTACTGTCTTCCTTCAAAGGGTATCAAAGCTTTTCTAACACATCTCAAGTGCAAGAAAATGGCAATTTCCTCCCTACTTCACATGCTTTCAGGTCTTTCATAATGTGGCTTTGGCTTTTGCTATTTCTCCAAATAGCAAACTGCTAGTAGCTATCCAAATAAACAACGAGGCTCCATAATCCACGAAACCCTGCTCCCTTCAAAAGCTTTGCTTTTGAAATAATGCCTCGCCGGGCGGTGGTGGCGCATGCCTTTAATCCCAGCACTTGGGAGGCAGAGGCAGGTGGACTTCTGAGTTCGAGGCTAGCCTGGTCTACAGAGTGAGTTCCAGGACAGCCAGGGCTACACAGAGAAACCCTGTCTCGAAAAACCAAACCAAAAAAAAAAAAGAAGAAGAAAGAAAGAAAGCCTCATTCTACGGAATCTACGGAGCCAAGCTAGCCTTGAACCTAGGATCCTCCTGCCTCTGTCTTGGGAGTCACCCTTTGACGTATGCCATACATTTTGGAATGTCTTTTCCACTCACTAACAACTTCCTACCCTACTCACCCTCATCTCAGGGAGAGCTAACCTCTAACGTCCTAGTGTCACTATGGTAGACACATCCCACTGACTGCCAGGCAAGGCCTCCTCATTCCCCACCCCTGCCTGCAATCCTTTGATCAATATTCCAAAGAAGGAACCTGAGGTTCATAATATAGATGAACCCTCGTGGGTAGAGCAGGAGGCTAGCCGGTAAACCTGACTATACAAAGCAGTTTAAATTGAACCAGGGATTCGTTCCTCCTAGAACCAAGAAAACACATCCTCTTCCTGCAACCTGGCATCCTTAGGAAGTGAGGTGTTAAAGGTAGACTGTACCCTTTACTTCCTTCCCTAGGCTTGTTATAGCTAATCAATAGATGATTGGGAAATACCAGTTTTGGCCACAGCAGTGAATCACCAATGCTAAGAGTATTTTCTGGATGACAGTGCTTAGGGATTGTAAAACTGACTGCTTGGGACTACCTAAACTAAAGGAGATAAGCTCCAGCCAGAAAAAAGATGGAGCTGAGAGTTCTTAGGCTACTGCTCAAAAACACTGTTGAGGGAAGCGACTCCTATTCTCATCAGACAAGCGCAGACATGGGACACCAGGAGATCCCCATGTCCTCAGTTTTCTACTTTCAATTACATTTTAATTTGTTTTTATGTGGTCGTGGTGGAGAATGAGTGCCAGGGTGCACCATGGGGACTAGAGGACAACTTCCAAGAATTAGTTCTCTCTCTCCACCATGTGGATTCCACAAATCAGACAGTCAAGCTTGGTAGTGCTTGGTAGCAAATACCTGGTTAGCTGTTCTACCAGTTCCATTTTATCTTTCAATATGAAATGCTTCACAAGTTTTTGTGTCATTTTTAACAGAGCCCATGCCAATCTATCTTGTATTATTTTAATGTACATGCTACCCAAATAAGGACCTATTGCTTAGAACTCTGCTAAATACTACATTCAAGCCCATGTCCCCCTGCAGGTACAACTCAGGACTCTCTGAACCACCAAGGCCTACCTACAGTCCCTTGGAAGAAAGAGCAGTAGCTCTATTTTTTGAATATCCTGCCCTCTCTCCCAGAAAGACAATTTTTAAAAGTAGTCAAGGCCTCATACACTTTTTCCAACTCTTCTGTGTGACCATATAGTTAGTTTCCTCCCCCAGAACAGAGGGTCTGAGGATCTGGTCAGTCTTAAGTGTGAAGTCCCTGCTGAGGGCCAACCTTTTAATAGATGCAAAATTTGGGAGTCCTGGAACAGCTTCAAGAAGCACTTGCCCTCCCCCAATTTCAACACAAAGGGCAGGAGGAAAAGCAGAGATCACAGACTCAATAGCAACCAACACACTCCTCACTCCCAACTCTCAGAGGAGATTCTAAAACTCAGGTAGATTAGGATGGGGTGAAGGACCCCAAAGAGAACGAAGCCAACAGAAACCAAGATCAGCTACCACTACAGAGCTACGAGATGTCAGCCCCTCCCCCCTTTCCATCGTTTGAGTGAACCATTGCATATAATTCCTTGTTCCCAGAGCAGGATCCAAACCTAGATTATCAAGATGTCTGGAGATGTCATGCCACTGGTGCACTGAAGCTGGTAGCAGGCCTCTTGCTGGCCCGGCCCAACAGTGGGTCATTCTGCACCAACCCATTAACACAACCAGTAAGAAACACCAGGGCCTCCGCGGTTTCTACCCCAGACCAACGGGAAGGGCGCTAGGGCTGGATAACTGACCCTTGGTTTCCTGGACAAGAGTTTGTCAGGGCGGGGCAGGAAGGGTCTCTCAGCCCTGAAGTGACACGGCATACGTCAAAGAGCTCTCTAGGAGCTTGGAACCCATAGTAGTTGGGCCGGCCAACTACTACTGCTACTACATTCGCTGCTACTTTTAAAGTTTTTTATCCCCCACAGGCGCGTCGTCCTCACCAGCCGGTGAAACCACAGGCACTGGTGATTCCTTGACGCGGTTTTATAATCCCTTTTTCAGCATAGGGCAGTTAGACAAGATTATGTCACCTCTCCTTGGAAGATCCCACCGAGGCCAGTTTGGGGTACTGGCTCAAAGGGCGAGAACAGGGACTACTCAACGCTTCTAAATGCTCTTTTCCGACTTAATTAAACTGCAGGCTCATCTCTCCGAAGAAACCCAAATTCTGAGACAGGGAGGAAAAGCCCGTCTGTCCACTGAGACTACAGCTCTCATCTAGGCGCAGGGCAGCTGGGCAGGCCTCCAAGGTCACGGGGAGGGTCGAGGCGAGAACGACTGGAGGGTGAGCAAGCCTCCCGCGTGCCCACCGGGATCATCCCTCCCAGCTCCTTCCAGCCAGGGCGGGGGTCCGGGCCACCCAGGAGGCGCGCCTCAGACGAAGCGCAAGCCCGACCCGGCTAGGGAAACTCGGGCAGCGGGCGCAGGACCCCCGCGGCGCCCCAAGCCCACCACGAGGCCACGCGTACGGCGGCCGACGCGCGCCCTGCTCAAGCCCCGAAGGGCGGGGAGACAATGCCTTCCCCGCGGGGCCGGTCCAGGCCGCACGCCCCCTCCCGACGGACACCGGTTGCTCCTCCCCAAGGCGAAGGGCAGCGGCGGGAAGGCGTCCGGAGCCGTGGCCCCGCGTGCCCCGCTCCCGCGCCCACCTCCGCGTGCGCCTCACGCGCGCCGGGTGCGGCGGCCGCACACCCACCTCCTCCTCCAGCGGGCCGCCGGGGCCCGCGTCGGCGCCCGCGCCCGTGCAGTGCTCGACGTCCGGCTTCGGGTTGCTCATGGCGAGGGGGGACGCAGAGAAGGGAGCGGTAGGTTCCCGCGGCGCTCGCCCCTGAGGAGCGTGCGAGCTCGTGAGGAGGCGCGTCGGGCTAGGGAGGGAGGAAAGGGGGAATCACGGTAAGTGTGGCGGGCGCAGCCGGCTCCGGGAACCCGAGCGGAGCCCGTGTGCGGACGCCCCCTCCCGCTTTTCACGGCGGCCCGAGAGTGCGCTCGCCGCGGCGGGGGGCCGGCCGCCGGAACCGGCCTCAGCTGGGGCCCGCCCCGCCCCCGCCCGCGGTCTGGGGGAACGCGCAGCCAATCCCCGCAGCCCACTGCGGGCTCGCCCCGGCCTGGACGCGGCGCTCGGGCCTCTGTTTGCCTTCGTCAGCCCGGGCGTCTTCCCGTCTCCCTCTCTCTTCCCGACTCGGCTCTCCGCTCCCCAGCGTTCCCTTCTCCCGAGACGCGTCTGAAAACTTCGATGAACTCTCTCAGAGAACTTTTCTTAAAGGAGCCGCGCGGGTGTGGGTGGAGCTCGAGGTGACCCCCGCGCGCGTTGCATTCCCCAGCCAGGGCGGCGGCGGGGCTCCCGGTTTCACGCCCAGATGTGGAGATGTATGCTGTCTTGAGCACACCGCTCGCCCCGATTTCCCGTCGGGTCTGGGTCAGCGCTTCTCTTCCCGGGTGGCGGCTGGGGGACCCGGTTCCGGGGGTGAGGGCGGTGAACACCCGATCTTGAGCATGACACGGAGTGGTTTTGCTGGGTGACCTTGAGGAAATCACTTCCCTCACCTCCTCGACCCCCGTCACCTCAAAGAGGTGTAGGGAACCTAATCGTTTTCAACTTCAGGAAAGGTTTCCTCGACTAACCTAGAAGGTTCCGGTCGTTACCTCCGCCCCGCTTTAAAGACTTCTCACGGCTCGCCCTTTTTCCGCTCCAATTCCGAACCCCGGGGTGGGGGAAGGAAGAGCCGGCTGACGCCTAGGACCGGGTCGCGGCCTCAGGGCCGGATTTTCCTTCCTGCGGAATAAATGCTGACCAGGACGTCTCCACGTCCTGCCAGCAGCCTGTGAAAAACCCGCACCTACCTGAAGTCGTCCTGCAGAGCACTGGGGTCCCTTCCTACGCCCCTGCCCGTGAGTTCCTGTATGTGGACTGAGACATCCCAGCCACAGCTGAAAGGCGAGCGGATTGTGCTCGCCTCAGGTATCTTCCCGGTGGGATCTACTAACCCCGACTTAAAGCACGGAACTTAAGTCTTAGTAGCGGAATTTGGGGCGTGAGGCCGAGCTCAGAGGGGGTCCACATGAAAAGCCTTGGTTTGCAGCCCCGGAACCAGTCAGGAACCTTGACCTTGTGTCAGGAGCCACAATGGGACTAGCTAATAATTAGTAGGTGATCATCCTGAAATGGCCTGCCTTGAGTTATTATGCTATCTGCGACAGGTGCATCCTTATTCTGCAAAGCTGGAAGGGACTCATTTTAGGAAAGATTGCTGCTATTAACATGCTTCTCCCATTATTATTAAACAGATATAACACTAAGTAATACCACACCCTTTGGAGCAAATCTCTGCGGATCCACAAAGATGTACTGTCTTGTAGTGACGCTATATAGATAAATAGATGACTTCTTAAATCTTAATGATGATCCTATAAGAATTCCTAAAATTTTATCAGTGATTATTAAGCTCTTTTATAATGGGACTGCTATTAGGTCCCTTTCTCACAATCAAAACCTCGATGAGAACTCTGCCAGTCTCCCATGTGTCACCAGTTAATTGCTCTTAGATAGTAACCAGACTTTCTCCTACTCAGAGCACATTCCAAGAGGTTGTAAAACAATTAACCAACAGTCATAAAAAAGGAACTAATGATTTATTATAGGTGCTAGGACAGAAGATTAAAATATTGCCTGGGTTTATCTATACAAAACTTCACTAATGCTGGGCTGTGGTGACACACGCCTTTAATCCCAGCACTTGGGAGGCAGAGGCAGGTGGATTTCTGAGTTCGAGGCCAGCCTGGTGTACAGAGTGAGTTCCAGGACAGCCAGGGCTACAAGAGAAACCCTGTCTGGAAAAAACCTTCACTAATAACTTAGCTATAGTTTTAAATCTTTAGGGAATCTGTGGAGCTAGACAGGTGATGGATGTTTAGCCAGATAATTACTCCTAGTGGATATGCATGTAAACATTCTCTGTTGTAAACTTCTATTTCAATTTACAATTTGATTTTTTTGTTTTGTTTTGTTTTGTTTGTTTTTTTGAGACAGGGTTTTTCTGTGTAGCCCTGGCTGTCCTGGAGCTCACACTGTAGACCAGGCTGGCCTCGAACTCAGAAATCCACCTGCCTCTGCCTCCCAAGTGCTGGGAGTAAAGGTGTGCGCCACCACCGCCCGGCACGATTTAATTTTTGGTGTGAACTTGTGTGCCCTTCCCTAGCCTTGAGCAAGCCAGAAAGACCTTGTTTATAATTGTTTGAAATTGTTCTTTTTTTAGATATTACCAATTCTCAAATTTTACAGTTATTTATACAAATACAGCTTCATTTAAAAAACAAAACGTGTACTGTTCCTAACTTTATAGGACATTTAAGAGCTTACTGTATTGCCTGGACCCCAGGGCAATGCCACAGCAGATTTGTATACCAGGCAGATTATAGGCCTTACAGGAACAATTGACCGTACAATCTCATTCCTTTATCATCAAAAATAGTAATAACTTGAGACAATAATTTGGTATTTCTAGAGAATGTGCATGTCAAATTGCAAAAACTTGTTCTGAGTGTCCTCAATTTCTTTATAATGGTGTTAATCCTTGAGAACTTACACCTAATCAATTATGGCAAATGAATGTTACTCATTTCTGATTTTGGAAAATTACAGTATGTACATGTGACTTGACACCCTTTTCAGGCTTTCTAGTTGCAACTGCTTTAACAGGAGAAGCAACTAAAAATGTAATTGGTCGGGCTGGAGAGATGGCTCAGTGGTTAAGAGCACTGACTGCACTTCCAGAGGTCCTAAGTTCAAATCCCAGCAACCACATGGTGGCTCACAACCATCTGTAATGAAATCTGATGCCGTCTTCTGGTGTCTCTGAAGACAGCTACAGTATATTCATATATAATAAATAAATAAATCTTTAAAAAAAATGTAATTGGTCATTGCCTACATTATTTTTCTATGCTTGGTGTTCCACATCAGATTAAGACAGATAATAGAACTGGCTATTACAGTCAGGTATTTGAGATGCTTTGTTGACAATTTAATATTACCCATATTACTGGGATTCCTTATAATCCTCAAGGATAAGGTATTGTAAAACAGGTATTGTGGAACTTTAAAATAATATCTTCATAGCTTTCTAAGTGTGGGAGGAACAGATACTGGCACTTCTGCCCTGGTTTTGCAAAAAACTCTGAAAAATTGCCTTTTAAAAACAAAAGAGGGGAAGTTATACTCTCCAAGGTCACCAAAAGCACACCTTGCTTTTGTCTTGTTTTAAATTTTTTGCAAACTGATGCTAAAGGTCAGTCTGCAGCAGATCGCCACTGGCATCCAGTCACTTCCAGCTCATCTGCCACAGTTAAATGGAGAGACCCCCTAACTAATACATGGAATGGTCCCAATCCTAGGGACAAGGTTCTGTCTGTTTTTTTCATAAAAAGAAAATGGAGCCCGATGGCTGCCTGAAAGATCGGTCTGTCAAGTGGACACAGATCTTGAGCCTAATGATTATGATACTAATGATGAAGACAGCTCAGAATCCCTATGAGCCATCTGGGTTAACCTGGAGTATAGTCTCCACTCATACTAGAGAGTGTTTTTTATCAGTAACTCAAAGCCACCCACTATATACCTGGTAGCCAGACCTTGTGTTTGATCCCTACCAATTATCAGCGGGATTAGATACCTGGAACATTCTCACTTACAACCTTAATTTCTACACTGCTTGGACCATTAATTATAATTTTGTTGCTTTTAACTTTTAGATCTTGTTTCTCTTTTTTTTTTTTTAATTATTTTATGTATATGAGAACACTGTAGCTGTTTTTCAGACACACCAGAAGAGGGCATCTGATCCCATCACAGATGGTTGAGCCACCATGTGGTAACTTTCATAAGAAACATTTTATACTTAGTAATAAACTCTATAATCACTTCTCTAAGTGTCTTTTCTTCCTCCGACCTCAGACTAGCCCAGTAGTTCCTGCTGAGATAGTACAAAGGCTATTTACTTTATCCTTTGCTGTTTTTAGGATGTGGTGATAAGGATCATAGAAGGCAGGTCAGCTACAATAGCATAGTAACTTAGACTTAGATAAGTAAACTTTTATTATACAGCAACCCTAAATATCTCGTAAGACCAAATTTTACCCTCCGCTGACACTCTTTCCCCATTCACTGCCTCAAAGAGAACTGACAAGAAAGAAGACTCATGCCCCAAGCTGGAGCTGGCCTGCCTCCCCTGCCCCCCAATTCCCCCCCCCAACCTTGGCCAGTGGCTTAGTCCCTGGGAACTTCCCTGTGCAGACCTGCCAAGTAGGGTTAGCTCCATCATGCATGAGAGCTGTGCTGTGGCTCCCTGATAACTTACAATCTCATCTCACAGGTAAGTAAATTAAGATTTTTGCCAGTGATATATTCACCCATTTGAGAAGTAATTGTTGAACCCCTACTGTGCCCTGGGTCTGGGGGTACTTGCCTATACTTACTGGTAACACAGAATTCCCACCACACTTGTGACAATGCATTCAGGTCCTGCCTTCTACAGAAATCAGGCTCTGACTATCCAAGGTAGGTGCTACACTTTCCCAGAGTTCAAGGTTCTTCCAGTTTCCCACATCTCCAGGTGGTATCAATCTTGTGAGTCCTTGGGTACCTCTACCATACTTTCCCCTCCAGCAAATCTTCCTATAAGTCTCTTGAAGTCTTCCTCATTCCTTTGCCAAGGAGGAATTTCCCTTCCTCCCTCCCTTCGAGATCCTGCTGTAGAATTCTGCTGTAGCTTTTTCCAGAGCAACCCAGTCAGTTTTTTAAACTTAGGTATCCCCTATAAGGTTGATTTGAACTTTTTTGTTTGTTTGTTTTGTTTTGTTTTGTTTTTTCGAGACAGGGTTTATCTGTATAGCCCGGGCTGTCCTGGAACTCACTCTGTAGACCAGACTGGCCTCGAACTCAGAAATCCGCCTGCCTCTGCCTCCCAAGTGCTGGGAT